GGCCGGTTTCTGAAAATGACGCTAGTCACTTTTCGGTCGACTACTGGCAAAACTGCGGACTTTAAACTGGAAGCTTTACAATTCACCAGCGAAACGAAGCCGCCACACTAATCTGCATCGTGAAATTGGTTTAAAGTATTCTTCTATTCTGGCTGTTGCGATCTGACAAGGATCTTTATCATCGCTCCAAAACGAGTTGACTCACAACTTGTGCACAGGAGGGAGGACGTGGCAATCTGCACGCAGGAACCCACACTATTGTCCATATTATCTTCTGTTTTCACCCCAGTCAGCATATGCCTGTTTCGAACCGTCTGTCTGGAACCGTTTTTGACACGTGCTTTTCAGTTACCTCGCACTTTGGAAAGTATACCTTTTTCGCGGCATTCGACAGATAAAATGGAGTCGTGGTGATATTGCAAAATTGCGGGCAAAGCTCACCTCATCAGAAAGCTTGTGTAAGGATGTCTCAACATATATACGGCACAAGTTTGAGAGTGCTTGGCTCCTCTCCAAACACCTCACGAACCTATGAACAGAGGCTGTAATGATGTTAACCTCTGGAAAGCGTGTCGATGGAGTCCGGCCAGGCCTCCCAAGTTGTGAATTGTCCTCACAGTTTAGGCACGATTCGTGGAAGCGGGACCCAGTTTTGCAAAGCTGCAGTGAACCTTGGGAACTAAAACGTGTGCTTGTGGCGGTGAATAAAGGGTCTTGCCCTGACTAGATAGACAAATTCCGCAAACATCGTAATTCAAAGGAAACAACTAAGGCCAGCATCAGCCAATTCAAAAATATACCACACGGCGTGAATATCGTGTGTGTAATTAGATACCGATGTGCTACGGTGAAATACTGGCCTAGAACCCGTCATTCCCGCCTCAAGCCTGCGTGTTTAACGTCTTACAACGGGCACCCACAACATTGACCACGGTTTATTTCAGAGTGCTGCAGTCCATCGTCTTCGCCGCAAGCGGCCGATCGCCGTTAGCAGGCCCTCAGACCGTGAGCGGAAATCAGCGGAAGGCGAACACCCGCTGCCATGGAGCACATGAGCATATACACTGGAGCTCAACGCCACCGCGACAAACCAAGCCGAGCCGGACTACAACGAATGAATCGGTCATCCGCCGGCGACTCTGTTTCGCTTGTCGCGATGTTGTTCGATGCATGTCTGGCTGGATGGGTGTCGCTTTAACTGCCGCGCTTCTTGATGTCGTGATATTACCCAAGAGCGCTCAGTGTACTTAACTGTCACAGATAGCGTGACTGACGGTTGCTGTACATTGTGAAGGTGCCAACCGCTACGATACACGTATGTTGTTATGTCTACGATGATGCTGCAATTGCTTTGATGATATTTTGGGTTTTCAATGTCAGGAACGCCTACGTCTGCGTAAATTGACCAATTGCTGGTGACCCTGGTGACTCATATGCTTGCGGAACGACGGGTCTTTGATACAGTGGAAGCTTGATTGGGGTGACACTGGTCTGAAAAACGTTAGAGCCACGTCTTGTTACTTCGAGATCAGCGTTTTGGAGATTCAGAGAATGATATTTGGCTTGTTGTAGCTATTCTCATTTAAAGTTCAGGATGAGAGAGAGAGAGAGAGAGAGAGAAGAGAGAGAGAGAAGAGAGAAGAGAGAGAGAGAAGAGAGAGAAGAGAGAGAGAGAGAGAGAGAGAGAGAGAGAGAGAGATGAGAAGGAGAGAGAGGATAAATATATATATACATACATATAATATATATATAATATAATATATTATATATAATATATAATATATATATAATATAATATATATATATATATATACTAGTATAGTACAAGCAATATATGCATATACAAATATAGATTAGATATGATGTGTGTATATACGGGCAATATAATAAATATATATATAAATAATATAGTATATTGACTAAACGTCACACACAAAGGTAAGCCAGTTTTACAGCTCGCAGCAAGCCTGCAACGCAGGCAGTTGCGCACTCTAGACTAATTCCCCGCTTCGGCTGCTGCGAGCCTGCGCGTGTTCCTCAGCAGGATGACGCTGTCCCTGATGCAGACATCATCGCCAATTGGCGTAGGTAGGCGTCCTGACAAGGGTTCAGCATGAACACTGAGTTGCATTAGATCACCTAAGTTGCCCACATTATTTGAGGCACTGTAGTCCGTGGCTGGACTAAGGTGCCGCGCGGCATCTGGCCAGCTCTTGCCATGCCCCCAAACACAAAACAGCACACTGGTCCTAAAACCGTTCTAACCCATCAGCCACGACACAGCACAGCGAGGCCGGCAAGTTCGCGATCTCCGAACCTTGTCCTTTTAACCGGAGGTTGACGGCCCCGCCCATACCCATGAGCCCACCAGCGTGACCTCAGCGCCAGATAGTGTCGATCGGCGGCAGAGCCGGACGTCAGCGGAGATACTCCACCGAGGCGGTGACGACATCGCGGGACAGGCGGATGCCTGGCCGGTCCACGCGGTGTCCGGCGGCCGGCTGGACACCGCCGGCGGCTGGCCCGCCACCGCGCACCGACACCAGCGCGCCGCCGTCTCCCTTACCCAGCGACGGGCAGTGGGGCGGCCCCCGACAAAACCGCATCTCCCGCCGCACCGGCGCGCCATGGCCCGACGTGAGCCGGGGGTCGGGGGTCAGCAGGGATGTCGGGGTCATCGGGCGACGCTCTGCAAGATAGACGCTGTCGGGGTCGGTGGTAAACAGCCGGCTGCAGTGGTCAGTGGAGGGGGCAGCCCGCTCATGTAGCAGTTCCGACAAGTGGAGGCTAACGCATACCCTGCCGGCAAAAAGTTAGACGGAAAATACTTTCACGTGTCGGACGGGGCTGATATGCGAAACCCGCCACCATTTGAAGGGCACCCTCGGACTCGTGGCTGGCAATTCGAGCCACCTAAATACCGCGACTTTGGATTTACTGAGCACTAGAACTTAAAAAAAGAGGAGGATGAAGGCCATAAGGAGGAAATAAGAGGACATGAGGCGAAATACCATCCGTTAAAAATTTTCTTCTTCTTTAGTGAACAACATGCGCGCCTACGCCAATTTCTGCGCACCCGATGACCACGCGTCCCTCGCATCAACGGCTTCATCGCCGCTGCGTCCTTGAATCCGGACATGGAAGCGGGAAGGCGGGCGTATTGGCAACGCCCGGTATGGGCAATGAGCGTATTGATCACGCGTCGTTATCGAGGGCGCCGAAATAAACATATCCGGTATTTCAAGCGGCCGCAGGGTGTTTGCCTACATTAGGGAAGTAAAGCACGGCAGAGATAGCGCCAGCGGCTGCCGGCAGCAACACTGAGATACCAACAATGGTTATCTGTACCAACTGTCAGGCGAAATGAAATGAATATTTTGATTGGCTGTTACCACCACTTTGATAGGTGTGTTCGTAGTCACTAAGTGAAAGAAACGTTCAACAAAAATTGTAATATTCTGTATTGAGAGTTAGTAATCTTAGCTGATTAAAATCATTATGGAGCGAAATCATGCTACTGGAATATACGCTAATGAAACATATGCTAATGAAATGCATGCTAATATGCTTGCTCGTCATTTAAAAATCATGTTGAACCACCCCCTGTAGCCATTAACATCTATTTTGTACCAATGCCTTTGACATATATGACAACTATGGGCTAAATTGTAGCATAATGCTACGTTAACTTTTGCACTGGAAAACGTTATTTGATTAAATACACGTGAAAAGGTTTGCCGTTTTGAAGTACTTTAAAAGTAATTTGCGCGTGGAAGCTTACTGCATAACAGAAAGGAAGATGTGTGATCGTAAGACAACCTAAACAGAGGGTTAGGCATTTACAGGTTTTCAGTGAAGCTTTGGCTATCGACCACAATCTGCGTTTGACGCACTAGATGTAAAAATATGCTGACCTCATTTTCCTCTCTTCTGGCTCCGTTCCAACTTCTATGCCACGTTCCTTGCAGCATCAGGATCTATCAAAAACGGTGACATCCCAGCCGAGTAATGTTTGAAAACACTGCGGGACACACGCCGCATTTCTTTACCGAAACCAATCTGCCGCTCTGAAAAAACAACACCAGAATGGCGCCAACAATGCACACTCATACACCTCTTGAAACGGTTTCTATTTTTGCAGCTGTCCATAACAGGATAATCCACAGAACACCTCCGTTAGCTGAGGCTATAGCGCCGCGCGGTCGATAACCGCAGGTCACACCTTCGGATTCTCTGGGACCGACTCGGGCGGCCCCCACCGAGGCGCACGCTGAGAACAGCAGGTCAAACGACGCCGGCAACGCAGCTTCTTCCTGTCGTCCGCGTCTCCACCGCTTGCCTTACTGCCCGCCGCTGACGCACAGGAAAGCCACGTTAAAAGAGTGTGCAGCGCATCGAATTTTTCGGTACAGAGGATACAGCAAAATGCTCTTACAGTGTACAATTTTGACATGCTTTTTTCTCTCATCGAAACGCCCCCGTTCATTCAGCTCAGACATTTCCTTGACAACTCTGAATGCAGAACAGAAAGAAAGCTACCAGCCCGGAAGACTTTCGACTGGCAGAAGATCGATGCAAACTAGATGCAAATCTGTAAGCCATATTGCTTAAATGAACGCAATGTTCATGCAATCTGTCCAGAAAATGATTTGGATCTCAGCCATGAAATCTAATCTGCCCGATCAGGAGCCAACCAACCATGACACAGCCGAAGTGATTCAGAGCACATGCGCACACCTGGTCCAACGTGCCATGCAGAGTGCAGCGTCACAGTCTTTGTCAGTTGATGGGTTGTCGGTAACACCTGGTCACGCTTCGCTCCCTTCACCGCCACCTGACCACGCCCCGCTCCCCATCACCGCCCGGCTGAACATGTCCCGCTTTCGCCGACCCATGGGCTAAGGTCTCCGCCATACCCCCGCTCCCCATTAGTGCTCGGGCTGAACATGTGCCGCCGCCGCCAACCCATGGCCTGAAGTCCTCCGCCTGCGTCGCTGCAGGTTCTCACCGTCGCTGATGACGCTGACGGCCGTGCTCATCACCATATTCATGATCGTCGGGCTGTTCGGCAACGCCATCACCATCGTGGCCCTGCTGCGCTGTCCGCGGGTGCGCAACGCAACGTCACCCGCCGTCTTCATATGCAGGTCAGTGATTGCCTGGAAGCTGCCACAGGACATGTGGGCGATCCTGCACCGGCAGGGCACTGTTCCACCGAAACGGAAAGTGCCCGGGTGTGTGGCTCCTGATTCGCCCCCTTCACGGGCGGCTGTTGTATCAGCTGTTCCAGCAATGCAACATCCTCGCTCTTGGCCCCGACTCGGGAGCTCCATCGCCGATACCCTCGTTATTCAGCTCAATGCCGTGGATGATTACTCGCATATCGTCATTCCGATATGCGAGTTTCCGTCGTGAGTCACTTTTAGTAATGATCTGCCCAACAGCGTCTCCATATCCAATCACCAGGTTTCCAACCACGCGTACAATACGAGGCCTAAATGTTATCCAAGTATGTATATGTAAGACTAAGATCATTTATAGATATCCCAGTATATGCGTATTTCTGCTCTGTTGCTAGACCATAATCATGTTCCTCAAAGTAGCCTTAACTTATCAAAGTTAGCAGTGTTGCACAGGATCCATGCATCGTTCCTAATTGAGATGAACAAAAAATGTCTTCATTTTCTGGCTTTTCAGCATTATGAGTTCAGAATGCTTAAGTGGAGCTATTGACCCTCAATCTACCGGAAGGTACTGGATGAACGGCGTTTTAGAAGCAAACCCTGGCTTTATTGGCAGTACTCGACGTTTCAAGCTACGCTTTTGATCATGAGTGATTCTATTATCGTATGATCCCTGCACTCGTTATACCACTGCTGCGGTTTACCCACCCCGTTTACCACCCAAAACTTATCAAAAGTTAAAAAATAATTTTCAGCGTTGTGTTTCTAAACAACACCTTCTGCCAGCAATTTTCGGGTCTTGCAGAGATTTAAAAACATATTTGTAAAATATATCATTTTATAAAATTGCGGTTTGCTGGATATCACCAAGAAATCACCTTTTTTACCACCTTTTTATTTTTTATTTTATCACCTTTTATGGACAGATGTGATGTATGGTCTCTTTTTACCGAAACTTTCCAAAACTTATTAAAAACGTCCGGGTGGCATTTCTAACGTAGACGAGACTAAAAACCTTTACCCTTGCGTAGTCCTGCTCATAGGCAAAACAGCACTTAAAAGCCTACAGTACTTGCAGAGCTTGCTTAGATTACTTACAGAGCTAGATGAATGATCCTTGAATGAAATGATCCTCAACGCCCACAGACAAAACGCCCAAGATCTCACCGAACATGCCAACATCCTGTCCTAACACCTGTTATGACCCGTCATGAACAGTGTTCGAACTATGGTATTTGAATCCCCCCCCCCCTCCCCCCATTAGAGAAGCCGCTCCCATCACTCAACAAACAAATGAAGTCGTCTTAAATTAAATCGGTTTCCCTGACGAGCGTGGCAGACACAAGTGCGGTCTATCACACCACTTGAACAAAGATATGATAAAAATGTGTTATGACGTATTTGTTCCAAGTCCACATCATCACCACCACCACCACCACCGGTAGTAGTAGTGCGAATATTGTTGGCAGTCCTAGGAGGCATGCACAGTCATGTTCCTTTATTGCCCCGCTGCTTTGTATTATCGGCCCGTATCAAAACATTTAGATTGAGGGATGACAACTTAAGAGATAACGAATGCCTGCTTGATCACCACGAAGACTTCAGTGTGTACGATGTCAGTGACAGAGTGCAATATACAAAATCAATGTCAGTATATAGCTGGGGAATTAGATGGGGAAAATGCTCCTTACAAAGGCCTTCGATTGACGTGCCATGGTTCTTGCGCTACCTACCCAATCTCTGCGTCCATCCGTCCGTCCATCCCTGTGACCGCCCGTTCCGTCCGTCCCTGTATCCGTCCGTTCGTTCATCCTGTGTCCGTCCGTCCGTGAATCCCTATGTCCGTCCGTTCATCCCTACGGTCCGTCCGTCCACCCATCCCTCCGTCCGTCCGTCCGTGAATCCCTATGTCCGTCCGTCCACCCCCTACGTCCGTCCGTCCACCCATCCCTTTGTTCGTCCGTCCGTCCATCCGTCCGTCCATCCCTGCGCCCGTCCATCCGTCCATCCCCGTGTCCGTCCGTCCGTCTATCCATATGACCGTCCGTCCATCCATCCCTATGTCCGCCTGTACATCCATCCCCATGTCCCTTCGTCCATCCATCCCTATGTCCGTGCGTCCATCCATCCCTGTGTCCCGTTCATGCCGTCCGTCCCTGTGTCCGTACGTCCGTCCATCCCGTGTCCTGTCGTCCATCCGACCGTCCGTCCATCCCTGCGTCCGCCCGTCCTTCCGTCCCTGTGTCCGTGCGTCCATCGATCCCTGTGTCCGTCCGTCCGTCCGTCCCTGTTGTCCGTCCGTCCGTCCATCCCTGCATCCGCCCGTCCGTCCGTCGCTGTGTCCATCCGTCCATCCATCCCTCCGTCCGTCCCTGTGTCCGTCCGTCCGTCCGTCCGCCCGACGATTCAATCCTGAGCTGTCCGATATAGCGCACGTACATCATCGCGCGTTGCACATAATTCATTGAACTGAGTGACACATTGTGACGCGCTGTGGAGCTGGGCTAAATCGCTTGAGCTCACGTTCAGTTTTGGGCTTTGAGCTTACCGCAGACACCGTTTTATCATTCGACCCCTGCATTCCACCTGCTTTTGACGCTTGCAGTAGACGGCTTTACCGCATATATGTTATCTCCATGGCTCACCAACAGAAGCATCCCAATAGTTGTTGGGAGCCGGTTGTCTCAGGTGATCAATAGTTCCGCGTGGATTCAATTTTTTATGGCATTTGGGGTTACGAGCTTCTCAGATAATCACAATCAAATTGTGTCAAATCCGCACAAGATCTTGACTGACCACTTATTTGGCTGTTACGCGATATAAGAACTTAATCCTCGACTTACGAAGAGTCAGCAGAGACCGCTAAGGGTTTCCGTGATATCGTGACACATTTTGAGAACGGCGCTGACATTTTGAGTAGCTGAGTTTGCATCATTTTTACACACGTTGCGAAAATTTAAGTCTCCGAACTTTATGGTTCATGATCTCTGACCATTTTTCGAAGAGTCTTGACACTGGCACTGTGGTAAAAAGGACAATTAACGACAACTTGTTACCGAAAATACACTATAAAGGTGAAGAAGAGCAAATCACTACAAATATTACCTTTCTTAGCTCATCACGCTGAATATCGCTTTGCCTGCTTCTACGACGCCAAATTATCCGAGGACCATCAGCTTTTACCTTTGTGACCAGTTCGACACTTTAAACATCGCACGACTGGATCTTAATGGCCCATATGCCGCTTTAAAAGACGTTTCTAACGTTGTTTTCCTCACTTACACGACTTGTTTAGCTCTTGGTACAGCCAAGTGGGCCAATTAATTGCTTCTTTCACCTGATATGACATATGATAGATTCACCTGTCGATGACTGGTATTGATCGCTTCTATCAAATGAGCATCATTTGATAGAACGGTTTCAATGCTGTCAGCACCTTTTCTCCGCACTGTCGTAGTGTTAATAGTTCTTTCGATAACAGGATGATTTGTGTGAATGCTTATTTTTAACCCTGTGACCTATGGGATGCTAAAGGTCACATTCACCATATTTCGGTCGTTTCCATCTAATACGGCTTAACAAAAACTTATCAAGTCTTCTTCCCGTGGCTCAAGCTTGCCTAATTTTCGAGGGCGCGGAAGTGAAAAAAAGCTTGTGGGCCTAGGATTGATATGTCCACGAAGCTTCTGATAATCAACATCCATGCAGTACTTTCTAGTAACCGTATATGAGTACGTGTAAGGATTTTTTTATTAAGCCTGGTCTTGTTCGTTCGTGCACAAGCGCTTCATAATTTCTAGCCGAGTTCAAAAACAATGAATTCGCGGCAGCAAAAGTTCGTGAGAAACGTTAGTTACGGCTGATTTTTGCTTGATTTGAGCACAAGGCCCAGGCTGACTCCGGCAACCAGCATGACCTAGTTTCAATGAAAAGTGTGAAATAGCGTGACTGCAACTTCTAGAGGGTGCTTTTCCATAAGGGTCTTCGCCTTCCCCCCCCCCCCCTCCCTTCCTTTCTTTGTTTGCCAAAAGAGTGACTCAGCATCCACCAACACACCCTGCGCAGCTCTTCTGCAAATTTCGAGTGCCTGCCGTCTTCATCCCTAATGGTCCCACACTGCCCGCTGCCGCTCTCCTTCAGTTTTCGCGTTGCTGACTTCTCCCTTTGGCTGCTGGTGATGACGTCACCCGTTGCCCCCTTCCAGTCTGTGCATAGCCGACTTCTCCTTCTGTCTGCTGGTGCTGCCGTTCGAGATCTCCCGCTTCGCCAACGGCGCCTGGACCTTGGGCGAGGGCTTCGTCTGCGTGCTCTTCCCCTTGCTGAGATACTGGAACGTCGGCTGCTCCCTGCTCTCCATCGCCATGGTGAATGTGATCCTGAGCCCCGCGTGAAGACAGGGTTTAAGCGACCGGACAGTCAGCAGACGCAACAGGACGCATAGGGGGCAGGGTTCGGTTATTCTGGAAAATTTCGTTCGTTGTGGTTATGGTTGGATGAAGTACTAACTTGGTGACATGAAACAAATGCGTTGCGCTGTTGTCCATTGCCCGAGGGTGGGATATCTGGGCATGACTGGGTATACGGTAAAGATGTCAAAGCTATTCGGTTGATTTGAAAGGCACAACAGCTATGGTGTGCATGCCGTTTTGTTTGAGCTTGTTTGAGCATTTCGTAGCATGCCACAATCCCTCATCCCATAATACACACACACACACACACACACACACACACACACACACACACACACACACACACACACACACACACACACACACACACACACACACACACACACACACCACACACACACACACACACACACACAACACACACACACACCACACACACACACACCACACACACACACACACACACACACACACCCACACACACAACACACACACACACACACACACACACACACACACACACACACACTTATATATATATATATATATATATATATATATATATATATATATATATATATATATATATATCAACATTCCTCTGTTCTACGCAAAAGTCTTAAAACGAAGCGATGCATAATCCTTTCACTGTTGCTTTTTACTCTCGCTGAAATGACGAGTTGAAATGCTGATCCGTAGCTTCAGCGTTCGAAGGGGGAGAAAAGGCTGCTGCGTATTCAAGCAGAACATTTTAACGACGTCAGTTAGATCTGAGTCATTTGCTTCATGTGATACGCCCGACCCTTCGTTTCAGATAACGATCAACAGGTAACTGCAGGTGACCCTGCTTTGTAACACTGCCGTGCAACCTGCAGGAGATGGTATCGTACAGCCCTTTGCAAACCACACCACACGCCGATGATTTTCCACCGGCATATGCAACATTCATATGGCCCACCGAGTCATGAAAGCAAAGGCTAAGCTGCCTTGGACCCAGGGCGTCATTTCAATAATGGGCCACGATAAGGCGATATAAACGACGTGTGTCACTGTTGTTAAAATGCGCCTTACATGGGGTAGTGCCATCACTGTGTGAAACCAGGTCGCAAATGCCTGATTTCGCCAGAGTTATTCCCAAATGAAAGGCGATCAGGACAGTGGCAATATACCATACATCTTGATTCATTAACGCATTTGACGTAGCTTTCGTTTGGAGGGCATGATCCCCAATCACACTTCATGAAATTATTTGAATATTTTTTAATTCTTTGAATAATCTATGCTTGTCACTCTGCTAACCAGGTTCGTGATGATCGCTTTCAACGACCTCTACAAGAAGATCTACGAACGTCGTTGGGTGGTGGTTCAGATCGCCTTCATCTGGCTCTACAGCTTCGGCATGCTGACGCCCACACTGGCAGGCTCTTGGGGTAGGTTCCTCTCGTCTGACATCCCCTTACTTCCCCAAATGACGAGCAGCTGTCGCAGCCCTGGTGGATGCTGTGATCGCCCTTGTGGCGTGTCAGGTGTTTTGTTTGTCAGGATTGATTGTTCTGACCAGACGTGATGACATCTGATTGCGCTGTAGATTGCTTGTAAAAGCTTGCAGCGGGTACAGGCTCGTCACCCTGCTGTTAGTGATATGGAAATTAACGCCATGCAAACCTCGAATGCCGTAAGATATCAGAATTGTGCGTAGAAATCGTCGGCCATGCCATGCGACGCAAAAGTCTCACATTTAACCTTATAACGAAGCACGGTTTGGGGTATATTTCAAAGTGCAATCGTCTGAAAAGGTTTTCACACAGAACTTTTCAGAGCTGTGACATGAGCTGGATAAGTTCCAGCCGCCTACAACATTACTAATATTGATCTCTGTTGACCAATGCCACGGCGCTGTTGAGCGCGTGTCAAGTGACACCGCCCTCGCCGTGTAGCCGCGGCTCACGTGTCCCAGATGAGCGGGACTTGCTTCCTGTAAACAGCGCCACGCTGGACGGACGACGTGTTGCGCCCAGGTCCATGGCTGGACTAGTTTGTTTCGGGCCCAGGTCGGTGGCTGGGGTATTTGTTCCGCGCCCAGGTCCATGGCTGGACGAGTTTGTTTCGCGCCCAGGTCGGTGGCTGGGGTATTTTGTTCCGCGCCCAGGTCCATGGCTGGACGAGTTTGTTTCGCGCCCAGGTCGGTGGCTGGGGTATTTTGTTTCGCGCCCAGGTCCATGGCTGGACGAGTTTGTTTCGCGCCCAGGTCGGTGGCTGGGGTATTTTGTTTCGCGCCCAGGTCCATGGCTGGACGAGTTTGTTTCGCGCCCAGGTCGGTGGCTGGGCTACTTTGTTTCACGCCCGGGGCGATGACTGGACGAGTTTGCTTTCTATCCGCTGACCTACAAAAAAATAAAATGGTTTGTATTGGGCAATGGTGCTGTTGCCCGAGGGACAGTGGTATGGCGGTGTAACGACAGTGCCAGCCAGACAAAACTCAGGCCTTCCTGGAGAGACACGTGGCTAATCACTACTAAGACCGCGTCGAATTTAAAGGTGAATTCCCGAAATAAAAACGGCTCGGCTCCTGTTTATACACATGCTTGATTTGCGGCTCCGCATAACATGATAGCTATGGGGCACTGCATGGTTTACTGCAGGCGGCGCGCCCAAAAATCCCAAGTTATCATCATCGTAATCGGTCAGGGAGAGGGATTCCGCTTTGCCTTTTTTTCTCTCTCTCTCTCAATCTCTCTCTCTCCGCCTCTCTCTTTCTCTCTGTCTCTCTCTCTTTTTTTCTCTCTCTCTCTGTTTCTCTCTCTCCCTCTCTTTTCTCTCTCTTCTCTCTCCTCTCTCTTTCCCTTTCTCTCTCTCCTCTCTCTCCTTTCCTTTCTCTCTCTCCCTCTCCACCTCTCTCTTTCTCTCTCTTTCTTAATCTCTTTCCTCTCTCCTTCCTCTGTTCGCGGCTGGCGTCCGTTTGTTCATGTGAATGCCCTTACCAGGCGTGGAGCTGCCGGCTGTTAGTGCGGCATGGCGCCGTCAGATGGCATTAGGACCGACCGGAGGCAGACTCGTGTGCTCTATTTGATTGCTGTTATTTCACAGATGAATCAGTCCGTGAGAAGGCGGGTTTCTCTTGTTGTGGGCCATTTAACAAACCATTTTTCGTTTTAATAACCAGTAATGGTACGGCATGTGAGCGGTTGGTCTGCTCATTTCAGCGGCTGCTGAGATATTTGCCACCTTCGTCACGGTGATTGCTCTGCTTCATGAAGGCGGCTTTTCCTGAGGAACGAAAGCTCCTGTTCTTAAAGGGAACAAACTGACAAAGCATCCCTAACTTATCTATTTCTGCTTCTGCAGCTGTAACCCTCTGCGATGTTCTGATCTTCTGCAACCACAACAAATGACGCACCAGGCGGCAGGACTGTCGTTCCAGCAATGATTTTTTTTTTTGGTGGCGGTGCGTTGTGCATATGTGATATGCCTTGAGCGATAACGATACTGCGATTCGGCTCAGTCACAATCGGCTGCGATTCAACTCAGATTTAAGCCCAGTTTAAGGCCAGGTTATCGACAATGTCGATGAAGTCATCACCACCCAACGAGCTCGATTGTTAGGACGAAACTTTTCATCGCTATGTATTTCGCTGAACTCAGCAGTTCAACAGAGAATAACCACATTGAATGCAAGTAGCACTGCCACAATAGAGCATGGTCGTGAAACTGTGAAATTGGAGACCGCCATTTCCGTTCGACGATCATTCCTCTGAAGAAAAACAAGCGACAAATCAAATTTGCATTTCTCTAAAAAAAAGCGACAAATCAAATGGTTGGCGTTTGATCAGTGAAATACTAGCTACGAGCCCTGTGTCATTTACATACGTGTTTCCAGGAAAGGAACACACACGTATCCCTACGACATTAGATACAATGTTAAACGCTCCACGTTTCTTGATTGCACAATTTGAACTGTCACTTCGGCTTAGAGTCATAGTGGTTAAGCTATTAGCCTGCTGAATTAGATCTTCGAGAGTGCTGTAGCCCTGGCTGCCACCGTGTGCGTGCCGTCGTCGCAGGTCGGTTCGGCTACCATCCGCTGCTAATGACCTGTACCATCGTGCGCGTCAACGGACACTCGGCGAAGATCGCCCTCTTCTGGATCGGCTTCCTCATTCCCTGCATCGCCATCATCATCTGCTACATCGGCATCTTCCTGGTCATCGTGCTGTGAGCTATTCCGCCAACCTCTTGGCGTTTTCTCGCTTCTTAGGCTTTTTTGCTTTTTTGTGAGCGGGCGTCAGCCGAGGACTGTCAAGAGCATCCAGATTGCTCTGGATGCTCGTTAGGGAATTATTGTAAACCGACAGTGATCAAGTCGTCCTTGGGTCTATACACTTAAACAACTTCTTTCTAGCTTTGTGGGCCGCGCATTGCATCCTACCGAACAGCATGTGTGAGCGAGTCCGCTGTACCGCCACTGGGACCGCGGGACCATGTGTTTCTTCCTGTACCCTCTGAGGGCCAGAACTGTTTGTCATTCTCATCGGCGCCCCGCTGCAGACGATAGCACTGTTGCTTTTCCCATCGGCGCCCCGCTGCGGACGATAATACTGTCTGCCTTTCCCACCAGCGCCCCGCCGTGGACGATGGCACTGTCTGTCTTTCTCACCGGCGCTCCGCTGCACACAATATCCCTGTCTGCCTTTCTCATCGGCACCCCGCTGCAGACAATAGCACTGTCTGCCTTCCCCACCGGCGCCCCGCTGCAGACGATATCCCTGTCTGCCTTTCTCATCGGCGCCCCGCTGCAGACAATAGCACTGCCTGCCTTTCCCACCGGCGCCCCGCTGCAGACAATAGCAATGCCTGCCCCGCCACAGATCGGACCGCAGAATGCGCCGGCAACAGAGTGAAAGTCGGGCATGAAGGAGACCAGCCAGCAGAAGAAGTCTCGCGAGGAGCGAGCCCGCAAGAACGAAATGCGCATTACCAGGATGTCGCTCGTGATCTTTCTCACCTTTCTGGTGTGCTACCTGCCGGTTGACCATCGCCAAAGTGAAGGACCCCACCGTCAAGTTCCAGGTGAGAGCCGAGTAGGTGCCACCAGTGTTAAGGCGCCCTTTCGGATCGCTTTAAAGTACAGTAGCAGTCAGCTAGATACATGAAATATAATCTCGAAAACTTCAGTAAAAGCAACCATGCCCACTCGATCACCACGTATCATGTTTCTTAAGTCCAATGATTGTCTCAGTTCATCTGACTTGATAATTCAGCTGGCAGATCCTAGCCCTCTGTGCCCTAACAGCGTTCACGATCCCGGGGCAGATGTTCTATCATCAGCCATAACACCTCTCGCAGGCGATCGTCTTCTGAGTTCAGCTCTGTATGGGCTTCGTGGTGCCAACCACCGCAATATCCCCCAGCTCTGCGGATGCTGGGCTAAGACATAGTGTACTTTCAGGTCTGCACATTCTGGGCTACATCCTTGGTGTACCTGTCAGCCTGCATCAACCCCATCATCTACGTCATCATGAGGTCGTCAGTACCGACAGGCCTACAAGACGGTGCTCTGCTGTCGGCGTCCCGCGCCTCTTCCTCCGACAGTTCCCTCCAATGTGAGTCCGGCGCCGCGGGGACCGGCCACACAATCCCCGAGAGGCCCTCCGACATGGGGTCCTATCTCGCGGTGCATGGACTCTGGAGAGGTTAACACTTCCTACTAGGACAGACGTCGCAGACATGAACAACCGCTAATGAGGGGCCCTTTGGCCCCGACCATCAGGTACGCGAAGGGGGCACGCAAACATCCACTCCAATGCCCCTCTGCCGGCTGACAATGCACATTAAAAACCCCACCACCCAATGCGTTCCACGTGCCGCCATCATCCTGCACCACCCATGCCTGGGCCCGACAATACGATTTGCACTGTGCAAAACGAGCGCCCGAATCTTTGCACCGTGCAAAGCCAGCGCTCGAATCTTTGCACTGTGCAAAGCCAGCGCTCGTATCTCTGCACTGTGCACAGCCAGCGCACGTAGCTCTGCACTTAAGTCAGGCGTCGGATGCGGCGAGCGGGGAGAGAGGGGGGCGGGGCTGGGCGCCAGACACTGCGACCCGCTGCAGAATCGCTCATCACCAGCGAGGTCACGCGCTATCGGCGCGGCCGCCGCGTCCGACACCAAGCCCCTGCGGACGGCCGCTGATCACGGCGGCGACAGCTGTCGGCGGCGACGAAAACAGACCGAGCGAGGCGGGCTGTGTGGTGGTGCCGGACCCGACGGAGGAGCGGGGCTGGCTGGGACGGCTCAGCTGGCCAGAGGGCTGCGCTGTTAGGAGGGCCGGGCTGTTCGAGGGGCCGGGCTGTTAGAGGGGCTGGGCTGTTAGAGGGGCTGGGCTGGTAGGAGGGCCGGGCTGTTCGAGGGCCGGGCTGTTAGAGGGGCTGGGCTGGTAGGAGGGCTGGGCTGTTAGAGGGGCCGGGCTGGTAGGAGGGCCGTGCTGGGTGGAGGGCGGGCTGGGTTGGGTTGGAGGGCCGGGCTGGGCGGAGCAGGTGAGATGGTTGGGGCGCGATGCATGGCACAGGGCCGGATTGAATGGAAGAGCAGGACTTGGCACAGCACCGCGCGGTGAGTAGAAGTCCTGCTTACGCCATTACCTCGGGCAGCCCCGTTTTCTCGGCTTGGTCACGCTCTTCAGGCTGGGCGGAGCACTCCGGCTGCGACCCGCAGGGATTTGTGTTGGCATCAAGAACGTCCAGAGCACGCGGGCGTGCCCAGCACCGGTGACCCATCACTGAGCGGCACCGCTGTGTGTGCCAGTTTCCAGAGTGGGTACCCTCAGGCTGTCTGCGAGGTCGAGCTTCGTGACACGCAGCCGGCCGCACCTGCCGGAGGAAGCCATCTGCAGGTGTCCACGCTCTGGTCTGATCGCGGCTGACAGACTGCCGATCCCTGGCCCTCCATTGCCGGTCTGGCCCGAGCCGAGCCTGGTGGCAGCCTTGCTCTAGTTCAGGCGCCTGAAACGTGGAGCCTTTCACGGACAGCGGAACAGCAGTTCTCATGAACTCAAAGTCCCAGAAGAGACTTGTACAGCAGTCCGCTTTCCGACATCCCAAAATTCGGAGATATTATTGCTAATTTACTTACAAGGCCGGCTTGACCGATATCATCACACACAGATGCTAAGAGCCAGATTGCTGTCACGGAAGGGCCTGAAATGGTGCGCCAGCGTACTGGAGCTTGTTGGAAGGTCACCTCAGGGGAATCGGCAGTCTGATCCGTGAACGCGTGTCGTGCTTCAAGTCTGCGTTTCCCAGTGCCTATGCTGGACTTTCCAGTCGACGAACTAATATTTTCATGTACTGCCTGCGGGAATACGCCTTTGCTACCCGCCGTTGCGTTTCTGTCGATGTGCTGCCCATTGCGTAGTGCTCCCTTCCACTGCGTTGTGATTTAATGTGCTCATTGCCGTACAGCCAAGGACACGTTTTTTACTTTCCTCTGAGTTAAGCTGTTGTTTCAGGCGCTGCTTGTTTTTTTCTTTGGTGTTTATGTTGTCGTAGTAGCTTACCATTACTTACCCCGTCGTTGTCAGACCCATCGCTCTGATCCGGGCAGTTGAGATTCTAAAACACACCGTCGCGACCACACGCATGTCACTGTACCTTCCCTGTCCCACACTGGCGGGTGGGATTCTAAAACACACCGTCGCGACCACACATATGCCACTGTACCTTCGCTGTCCCACACTGGCGGGTGGGATTCTAAAACACACCGTCGCGACCACACGCATGCCACTGTACCTTCCCTGTCCCACACTGGGCGGGTGGGATTCTAAAACACACCGTCGCGACCACACATATGCCCACTGTACCTTCGCTGTCCCACACTGGCGGGTGGGATTCTAAAACACACCGTCGCGACCACACACATGTCACTGTACCTTCGCTGTCCCACACTGGCGGGTGGGATTCTAAAACACACCGTCGCGACCACACACATGTCACTGTACCTTCGCTGTCCCACACTGGCGGGTGGGATTCTAAAACACACCGTCGCGACCACACGCATGTCACTGTACCTTCCCTGTCCCACACTGGCGGGTGGGATTCTAAAAACACACCGTCGCGACCACACGCAATGTCACTGTACCTTCCCTGTCCCACACTGGCGGGTGGGATTCTAAAACACACCGTCCGCGACCACACACATGCCACTGTACCTTCGCTGTCCCACACTGGCGGGTGGGATTCTAAAACACACCGTCGCGACCACACGCATGCCACTGCACCTTCGCTGTCCCACACTGGCGGGTGGGATTCTAAAACACACCGTCGCGACCACACGCATGTCCACTGTACCTTCGCTGTTCCCCACACTGGCGGGTGGGATTCTAAAACACACCGTCGCGACCACACGCATGTCACTGTACCTTCCCTGTCCCACACTGGCGGGTGGGATTCTAAAACACACCGTCGCGACCACACGCATGTCACTGTACCTTCGCTGTCCCACACGGCGGGTGGGATTCTAAAACACACCGTCGCGACCACACGCATGTCACTGTACCTTCCCTGTCCCACACTGGCGGGTGGGATTCTAAAACACACCGTCGCGACCACACGCATGTCACTGTACTTTCGCTGTCCCACACTGGCGGGTGGGATTCTAAAACACACCGTCGCGACCACACGCATGTCACTGTACTTTCGCTGTCCCACACTGGCGGGTGGGATTCTAAAACACACCGTCGCGACCACACGCATGTCACTGTACCTTCGCTGTCCCACACTGGCGGGTGGGATTCTAAAACACACCGTCGCGACCACACGCATGTCACTGTACCTTCCCTGTCCCACACTGGCGGGTGGGATTCTAAAACACACCGTCGCGACCACACGCATGTCACTGTACTTTCGCTGTCCCACACTGGCGGGTGGGATTCTAAAAACACACCGTCGCGACCACACGCATGTCACTGTACTTTCGCTGTCCCACACTGGCGGGTGGGATTCTAAAACACACCGTCGCGACCACACGCATGTCACTGTACCTTCGCGGCTTCACACTCCTGTTTGGTCATTTGCCGCTCGTTTCATCAATGCCTTTGTGAAGGAACCCTGCTGCTGTGAAGACGGACTAAACAAAATCCTCAAGCTCATGATACGTGGCTTTGAAGCTGTTGGATACGAAGTCTTAAAATCCTGCTGATTTGTGGAACTAGCAGTTGATGGAAAATTGCACTTCCGTGCGTTTCAAGGCACTAGTGCAGTTAAAGGGAGTTTACCTTTACCTTACCACGGCCTGTTACCGACAAGTTGATTGGTTAAAATTGGAACCAATGCGTCACATAGATCACATGATACTTCCATACTCAAAGTCAAAGTGTGCCTTTAAACCCGTGGTAAAAGCCTTAGGGAACAATTAAAGCCGTATTGCAACGTTTCGTTGACTTTCGCGGGATAAAGGCTTCATGTTCACGTAGCTTATTGCCCAAATAGTGTTTCAAGCTTTCATAGCGTTTATGGACGCTACGATTTCGACATATTAGTGTGTTTCAAACATAACAGAACATACACTTTGGAGGAAAAACAAAGCAAATACAATGTGCTATTTGCTAAGTACTGAGCATGCTGTGAGATGAGATTTCTCCCGCAGGGTCGCCTGCTTCAAATATAAATTCTAAGCTTTTCAGTAGGATTTCGAGAAAACTGGTAATATTTTTGCAATGGCACGCGTATGATGTAACAATAAGGGAAAAATACCAACAAAAAATGGGATACTCGTTTTAACAGCATCTCCAGGAGGCTTCAGTGAGGCACGTTTTAGGAAATCTGTGCAGATCAGACAGCAGGCTACCTAACAACCTGAAATAGAACCCACGTACTCCAGCTCAGGAAATATGGTGGAAAGCTAGAGAAGCTCTGATTTACTGCGATGTGCTTACATTGTAGAAGGTAGTGCGTGTGACTGACAACAGGCTGGCTCGAGTGGATCCAAGGAAAACAGATGATAAGACTGTCTTAGTTCTATAAGGTCATCTGAGACAGGCTGAATCACCCATCTTTATGTTTTTTACCAACAGTAGTGTGTGCAAATGCTTCAAAAAAGAGCGTTGCAAGATTGGTGACTCCCTCTCTGTTCTGAAAAAGCAAACTCTGGGAGCTATAACAAATTTGAAAATACGGGACTTGGATTCGAATGTTCCTTTCCGGTAAAACAGTTGCTTCGAAACTAAGTGCTAAAACATGGGGCACTTGTTACAGGTTCATACGTTTCGCCCGCCTCCACCAAATTCCGTGCATTTTTTCGGAATTATGCGGGTGTCGGCCTGACCTTGCATGTACAGTAGCTTGACGCCTGCTTCCAGCTGCAGG